TTTCTTGTAGAGGACGACGAGATCTACAATTTCTGTATAAAAAGTTTTCGGTAGCGTCAACAGTTAACGAGTAATTTGCAAAAAACTGTTTTTTCGTTTTTCGTCAATAACTCGTTAAATATTAATGTTAGCGAAAAATTTTTACATGGAACTTGTAGATCTCGTCGTCCTCTACAAGAAATGTTGTATACAATTTTCCCGTAGATTCAACGGTTTAGGAGTAATTAAAGAAAAATGAAATTTTTTGCCATAAGTTCGCCGTTTCGACGCTGGGATGGTCGGATTTTGTCAACATCAATAAAATGCCAAATAATCATACGTAACTCGTTAAATATCGAAGTCAGAAGGAAAACAACTTTTATTTGAAGCATTTTTCGCAATTTTGAAAAAAACAAATTTTCGTCAGCGTCAATACTTAATTGGATATTTCCTTCTATACTTTTTAGCACGTAGCTATTTATTATTAGCATTATTCTTCCGACGTCTGATTTCTTTTTAATTATAGGAAATGGGTTTTTCTAAGGTACATAAACTTTTGGGATTGACTGTATAGCCAATACATCCTTAAACAATTGTACTGCATCATATATTCACGAATCATTCTCTGTCGTTGTAAATTCTTAATGTTAACGAAACGGAAATAATTGTCATACCTACTTGCCATCGATGTATTAATGAGTGCAAAATCAATTCGACTCCGATAAAAGTCGGTGGAATGTAATTACGTAGTTCTAATTGTAATTTTAATGATTAGCACAATTATTAGTCGGTTCAACGTCGTCGATTGGATCGATTTTGAAAGAAATATTCTAAGATATGTATGTAAAGCATAGTATATTTTTAGATTGTATTTTAAAATGCATATTTGTCGCTGGCATCTGCCGATTACACGTGCTGATTAAACGTTCAAGACGCCTAGAGTAATTGTAATGAAATAAATTGGTGAATTCATGTCTCAGTACGATCTTCAAACAATTGTTCATTACATTTCGACCAGATGTTCCTGCAAATCCGTGGCAATGCTCGAATTTAATCGTATTTTATTATTTTGATTGGCACAGAGCAGGCCCAAAAATTCCCAAAGGTCATGTCAGACTGTTCTGGGGCTTGGATAACGGAAAGGATTATACCGGAGTGGCGGTAGTAGGTCTCGGGAAGAAGGATCCTGGTATAAACGAGCTCGAAGAGATACACGAGGGAAAAGAGAACATACGTATCGCTGCAGCAGGTGATGAGAAATTCGTGCGTCGAGATTACTCGCGTAAATCTTATCTCTTGATAACGCGTAACTCCGGATTCTTTCATTTCCAGTGGGCTGTCGCGCGCTCGACGCAGCTGAGATAAAAGACATACATGTAGAAAATTTCGAAGACGCGGAAGCCGCGGCGGAAGGCGCTTTGTTGTCGACTTGGTACTATCAGGGATTGAAAAGCGCCGACAAACGGAAAGCGTTTCCGAAAGTTTCTCTATACGGTCAGGAAGGAGAGTGAGTATCACACTTGTCTTCGCGTGCTTCTCAGGCGTAACGATAACGAAAAATTGATGGTGTTCAAGGGAAGAATGGCGTGCGGGGAGTATCAAAGCTCAAGCCCAAAATTGGGCGCGTCATTTATCGGATTCACCCGCGAACTTAATGACGCCTACCGTATTTTCTTCGGAGGTGGAATCGGCCCTCACGAAACTAGGAGTCACTGTACACGTACATGACAAAGAGTGGGCACAACAGAAGAAGATGGGTTCCTTTCTCAGTGTGTCTAACGGTAGTAGTGAACCACCCAAGTTCCTCGAGATTCATTATAAAGGTGCTGGCGATGATTCGCAACCGATCGTGTTCGTCGGAAAAGGTGTTACCTTTGATGCTGGCGGTATCAGCCTTAAGGTAAAGCAACCGAGAACTTGAGCAAAGAGACGATTGGAAACTTGTCCTGGTGCTAACGTCGATTACATCGATTTCAGCCACCGACCGATATGGACGAGATGCGTGCCGATATGACGGGAGCGGCGTGTGTAGTAGCTGCTATCAAAGCGGCTGCCGAACTGAAATTGAAAGTTAACATTATCGGTTTGACGCCGTTGACGGAGAATTTGCCATCCGGGTGCGCGACGAAGCCGGGGGATATGGTGGTAGCGATGAACGGCAAAAGTATCATTGTAGATAATACCGACGCGGAGGGTAGACTTATTCTCGCCGACGCTCTTTGCTACGCTCAGGAATTTAATCCAAGGTAACCCGCGTCAATCCCGATGTCGATCGAGGACAGATGAGAATCGTTCGTTTCATTGCTTGTACGCAGCTTTATCTTGGACCTTGCAACACTGACGGGGGCTATGAGAATCTGCTTAGGATCCGCAGGAACCGGAGTTTTCACGAATTGCGCTAGCCTGTACGAGAAACTGCGAAATGCCGGCACCATCACCGGCGATAGAATGTGGAGATTTCCGCTCTGGCAGCATTTCACGGACGAGATGACGAGTAAGACACAGACACGTACTCGCGTTACCATGTCGTTGTCAACATCGGGCAAAGACGTTCAACGGTTCGCTATTATATTTTTGCAGAGAAAGTCAAATCGGCCGATATAAGAAACGTTGCGAGAACCAAAGGTGGTGGTGCGTGCACCGCGGCTGCTTTCCTGCGCGAGTTCGTTGCCAAGGACACACCGTGGATGCATTTGGATATCGCGGGAGTAATGGGTCCCTCTGACAAGTTACCGTACGTGCCAGCTGGAATGGCCGGTCGACCGACCCGTACGCTGATCCAGTTCTTACAGGCACTGTCTTAAAATTTCACAACTATTTTTCTCAATTTCCCCTATCTGTCTATATATGTATATATATATATGCATATACATATACATATGTGCATTATGCATATAGGTGTTGTGAACACACTGTATGTATATGTGTACGTCTATTAATCATGCATTTGCCCACCTCCTTTTTTACATTCTGATGTAAATGCAGTAGAGTCGAGTAGAACAAATGGGACAAGTCCAAGTTCGAATCCGATCCCTAACAGCATTCTATACAGTTTTGTAAGCATTTACCAAGGCAATTACCAAATTTAAGCTAACGTTACAATAGTTATCAATGCAAAGTACATACTGATAAATACATGAAACATAATGCAGTTGCGATATGCAGAAATTGTATACAACGTAATTTGTAAAGTTTCAGTCAAGCGACAGGCAGAATATTACTTAATAATTATGTATCGACGGGAGGTGTTTTGAATTTGGGCAATTTATATTTTATTTGTGTCATGTTTGAAATACATCCGATGTTTTACTAATTAATATTGTGTAAAATAATACACCTTTTTTGTAACAGTGCTAATAATTATCGGAACTTATTAGAATAAAATACAACATGTCTTATTATATGCAAGTTCGTGCTTCTTATTCTATATACACGTGAAATTTATGCTAATATCTTAATCGTTACGCTCTCGTTACGTATGTACAGTCCTTGCCGCTTATCCCCTTGAACAGAACAGGGTGTTGTATTTCCTTTACGTTTTTGCATTCGTCTTCAATGTAAACACAATTTGGAAAACGAATAGAAAATACTCGTCTCAGGGAGAAAAGAACGCTACTTTTAATAATAGACGATTTAACAGAAACCTTGTGTAACTCAGTTAATCGATGTACAAGCGTCGTGCACGTTCTTTTAATTGTACACGAGCACATCAGAAAACGATTTCTATCTTGATGAATCAACTCGGTCATCTTGCACCAACCCTGGAAAACAAAACCCAGCGACCGGGGAATACCGTTCCGCGGTCGTGATGACTTTCCAAGTTCTAGGGACGATATTTTACACCTTTAAACAAACGTAATTTGTTGTTCATGTACAAGGCGGTGGTGGCTGCTGCTGTGGAGAGGGAAGGGGCGCTGCCGCAGCGACTGCGGCAGCAGCAGCATACGACGACGGGTCCGAAGCATCGAGAAGCGGTGGCGGCGGAGGCAAATTTCCGCTTCCGCCTCGTCCTCTTCCTCGGCCTTTTCCTCGACCCCGACCCCGGCCCCTCCCCCTTCCGCGTCAACTCCGCCTCTCGGGCATCCCTATATTGCTCGTTGTCTTTTCCAGGAAAGCGAGCGGACCCTGGAGCGCGCTACTTCCAACACCTGCAACAGGGAATCCCGCACGTGCACCAGCTACTCCTACCCCTCCTTGAGTCATGAACATTCCCTGTTGTGCAACTGATACACCGACACCTTGAAGTCCCGAAGTAGGAGGAGCACCGGATCCTTGCTGCACCTGCAATACCACATCAAACGTTCCATCATGAGTATCCTTGGTCCACTGTGTTACGTGCAATCTTTTCCTGTGTTTCAACTTAATAAATTGTCTAGTAGAAAACGATGCTGAATGGAAATGAAATGTTGAGAGAGAGAGAGAGAGAGAATGTGTGTGAGTAAATGTGAGCATCGAAAAGAATACTAAATTAAGAGAACTTTAGAAATAATCTCCATGTATACGTAATACATTCGGAATAGATTTTTAAACAACAAGACATTGTTTCAATCGTAATGATACACGTGTGTTCAGGGACGAAGGGAAATGAAAGAAAGCATGTCCTTCTTTGCCATTAATAGAAATTTATTGCACGAGCATCTGGGCACTTGCACGTAAGAACGACACGAGTGAAATTGTGTCCCCCTGTATTCTCTCTCGCGAAGGGCTTTTTAAAACGATGGCAGGGAGTAAAGCTTTTGATACGCGATAATTGTGCAGCTGTTACCGTGAGTCAACGTCTCTCTAGATGAACGGAGATATGCATGCATTTGTGGGTGCATGCAGAACGTATTCGTAACGAGTAAAACGGTTCGCGCGAGGATTAAATAATTTGAAAAAATATGTGAACGTACGTGTATACTTAAAATATCGCTATTAACTCCTAATTGGAGGTAGTGGGGATTGTTAGGTTCACTATTGATGTCAAGCAAACGAGATATGCTTCTTTTCTTTTTTTATTATTGCCGTTATCAGATTTATTATATCAATTTTTGGCTAAACATTTGTACACATTTAAATAGCAATCATTTTGGCACCGTTTTACAACATATTCGTGTAAGTAAATAACATCTATCCGATACTTTGCCTTTTTCGTAAATGAAATTTTATGCTCTCGTCGTAATACCATATATCGCAGCTACTAGTAAAAGCACTTGAACTTTTTTCTCTTCTTACACGTTACATTTTTGTCGATAGGAATTATATAAGGCACTGATTATATGCAACACTAATACAAGTTGCCTTTTGTGCAATAGGACTGAATAATCTGATATCCTGAACACCTATTACGTAAAAAAAATCGAGCAAAAATAGTTTCCAAGACTTTGATGAGGATTCGGATCACAAAAAAATTACTTAATTCTTACTTAGCCTATTTATATACATGTCTTCCATTCACACTCGCATGCATACACACAGATACGTATGTACAATCACTCGATATTGATGCTTGTTTCAAAGTGTGACAAATACAGAAACTCGGTAAATAATATAGAAATCTAGTAGTAATAATAAATAAAGCATATCGTCAAGTGAGAACATTATATCGAATATAATATTTTAATATGGTGCAATGATACTTTGCGTCAAGAGCTTCGATAGTTCATACAATTCTCGGCAAGTTTCAACGAACCGAGACAAATATTTAAAGGATGTTGTCTCAATATGTAACTTCTAACTACAACTGCCACAGCAAAATGATTCCTATGCAAGTATTACAATTTCCACTGTTATGCACAGTTTTCTTTTCAAATTTTACGTGTTGTTTTGAGGGGGAAGCTTTCACGATAGTAATTTTAAACAGCTGCCTGAATGCAGAAGTTTCAGTTTTTTTTGCTGGTAACGGTATTACTTAAATACCTGTTGCTGGTGAAGTTGTTGCTGTTGCATTTGATGTTGCTGTAGATGTTGCAACTGTTGTTGTTGCTGGAGCTGCTGCTGATGCTGCAGCATTTGTTGCTGCTGTTGCATGGCTGCATTTCCACCTCCGTTTCCTGCCTGTTGGCTTTGCCCACTCTGTGCACCGTTCGGTAAGCCTAGAAGACTTTTCAGTCATCAAGAGCACTACGTTAAAGTATATGGTGTTTCTTTATTCAAGATCCTTACCGTTAGGAACTGGACCTTGTGCCGGAGACTTTGCCCACCCTTGCAGATCTGCCAACAGATTCTGCCATACCGTGATCTTGTCGTAATGTCTCTTTATCAAATCTTCTTTGCGAGCTAATTCTACCCTGAGGTCATTTATGTCCTCTTTCACAACTAGCTCCGGTTTCAGTGCAGATAACAAGAATCTTTTCTGCAGGAAAAAAGCTTCCATTTGTTTAGCCAGATCTATGAACCTTAGAGTAACTTGATCAACTTCGCTTCTTGCTTCCTCCTTGTCCACGGTCAAACCGCCGGACACACCGATCCCATTGCTTCCTAATCCTTCGTCTTTCGTTATCAATATACTCAAACATTGCTGAAACAATCGATTTACATAAGGACAAATACTCGTAAAGACCAAAGCGTAGTAATGAAAAATTACACTAGCTGAAATTTGCACTCTACCTGAAACGCTTCTTCAAATTCATCGATCAGGTTACCGTTGCCATTAGTGGGTGTCGCCATTATATGTATACCCCTGGTGCTTCATATACGCATAAATATGTGGTTAACAATGGTTAATCCAATTCCAAGGTGTCGGATCCGTTGTTCATTATCAACGTTTGGAACAGAACTTGCAAGTCCGTAACGAGCACACACGTGTGTCAAACAAAAGGCGGCGCGATAAAACTTTACAACTAAACGGAACGTTGAACACGATTGTCAACAAATACATCAGGCACAGTTCTCGATGTTCTCTTGTTCCAAGTCACAACAGCGTGTTAGAAAACGATCAAAGAATCTTCGATTATCTTCGATCGTCTACTAAATTTCTTCCGTCGCATTTCACCTTCACGCACTTGCTTGTACCTCAGTATATAATATATATAGCTGCGTACATAGTACGTGGTGACGTTAGCCACGTTTCGATCGATGTCAGCTATCTAAAACGATTCCCGATGCACTTCACACGTGCACAGTACAAATGCAAAAGTTTAAGTTTCGCGTCGTCTATTTCTCATCTCGTTTGCAGGTAAACTCGCGAAGATAAAGAAGATATTTATACGTCGTGTGTAAACTGTTTCATTTTTATTTCTACTTCCAGTAAATTGAAACGTGTATAGTCGTATAGTCAAACATAAAATTTTGTTACCTTGAACGATTATAAAATTGCATTATACATGTGTACGAGCATGATACTGATATGTACGTTACGTGATAATTATATTAAGTAAGATATTTGGTATTTACAGTTATAAAAACGTGAATGCATATATTTCATCGTCGACACTCGTTGGCCACGTTGTACGTACTGTTTGGAGTTTCATGGCCTTATCAATGAAAATATTGTCGATCGTTTTAAGCCGAGCAGTGAGCCGCGCGTTTCTCACCGTTCAATCGAACTGTATAAGATCAGGAACATCGGGTTCCGGGGGCGGTCTTGCCCACGGGTCCTCCAATTCCCACAAATCTTGGGGCAAATGCGCTCTCTCCGGCGGCGGCCCTCCGCAATGACCGCAGGGAGTCGGATATCTTTGAACATCGAAGAATCTCCCTAATTCGTCAGGATCGAACGGTGGATATTCGTAGGCCGGATCCGGATCTACTTCTTCGAATATCGGTACGTTCGCCGCGTCTGTTTCCGCTTGTATTCTCGCGAATTCCTCCTCCAATCTTCTATGCGCGTCCCTCGCTCGCATCTCTTCTCGTATCCTTCTCAAGTGCTCCATAGCTGCAACAACGTCCGGGTGATCGAAACCGTACGCGGGTTCTTCTATCACCGGGACTCTGTTTGGGAGCATCAGTTTCAGTAATAAAGCGCGATTATTATTTTTAACTGTATAGTATCTGAAACTTTACCGTCTCACATAAGCCGGTGGAGACTCGGGAACGACCGGAGTCGTTGGACGCAAAGGACTGATGGGAAGTGGTTCGACGATCTCGGGCTGTTCGTCCTCCAGGTGAATAGCGTTACCGCCGACGTTCGCCACCGCGATCACAAATTCTCTTCTGGCATTCTGCAAGTCTGTTAATCTATTGTTCACCGCTGCAGACTCCACGGCATCTTGTTCGTCCAGCGATTGGCTGAAGGAAATTCATGTTCCTTTCTTTCTCTTATCTAGATTCCGACGAGATGCGGTATTGTAAAATTACTTGATCACTTGAATCGACTGGTTCGCCATATCCATTCCTATTCTCCCTTCGGCTGGACTCGTTTCCGCTGGCGGTGTTATGTTAACGATGGTCGGACGATCGCTCACCAGTCCAGAAGGTATTACGATATTTTCGATAGGACCGGTGCCCACTGGTTCGGCTTGAACCACGTCAGCGTTCATCATCCTAGCTAACTCGGCGGTTCTTCTAGGTACGGGCATTCTCGGAGTCGTGGCTCTTGGTACTTGACTCGGTCCTGGTGATGGACCCCGACTCGTTGCAGGAGTTCTGCGTACTCTGGGCACCGATCTCTCCCTGCCCGCTCTGGTCACCAACAATTGTTTAAATAGTAACGAACATCTCTTCGCGATCTTTCAAATACTGCCGTGCGCAAGACAATGAAGAAAGATAAAGAAATTCGGGAGTTCGTGCAACGGTCTCGTCTCGATCAAATGTTAACTATCGTCACGACCTGGCATCACCTCCTATCGGCGCGGGCGTTCGTTTAGGTACCCGAGTGTGAAGAGTCGCTTCTGCTTTCCGTTCGAGTTCCTGCTTAAACTTTTCGGAATGTTTCAGTTTAGCTATCATCGCTTTGGTCAATCCCGGCCTGGTGAAGTCCACTTTCTTTGGTTCCGGCCTGGCCGGCCTTCTGGGCCGTGATCTGAACGGCTCTGGCTCATGTCTCGCCAATGCCTGCTCTCTTCGGTCATGTTCCCTCAATGCCGCTTGCGTTCTCGCCCGACGGAGCTGTTCGGTTTTCGTCAAACCGGGACAAGCGGGTGGTGGCATCTCTGTTTTTATAAATTAGCGACGGTACACCATTAAAATGTTTCTATTATTCCACGTATACGCTTCTGGTGATCCCCTCTTCCGTTCAGGATATACATACCGATAGACGCTTATAACCTGCTGCTCAACGATTTATTCCCTATCGATGAATGCTGATATCTTGCCGATTTTTATACACGCTCAATTTGCCTGGTTTTCATAATGGATTTGTTTTCCAATTACATGTCAAGTGTCGATGGATTTAAACATTTATTGTTAATCGTGAAAATTGTTACTATTCAATTTTAAATCGAAACGTCACGTAATTTGGCAGGTAGGTAGGTAGTATAAAAATTCGTAACGAGAACCGCGTTTGTTTTTTCGACCCATACATATACTTGTTGGCCGGAAAAAAGCGAACGATTTGCATTTTGCATATGAAAATGTGATACCTGTGATACGCACGGTAAACGTGACAGGATCAGGGCGATGGAAATGATAAATATAATGATAAGAACGATAAAACCCTCGATCTGATTCACTGAACGTTTGATTTCGAAACGAACGCGATCTATCGTTATCGCGTGTCTCGTTATCCTCGACGTTTCCGTCGATATCCTCGATCCTCGACCGCGACGTTAGTGAATCGATGTGCAGTCGATATGCTAAAGACGTAAGTTCGCATCAACTGAGATCTTTGTCCAAGTTACGTCTTTATTTCTTTAACGATGCCAACTAGGGCGGAACGCCCGAATTTCGTACCGTTTCAGGATACTCAGTACAGTTGGACAGACGATTTGCCAGTATGTAAGCAATCCGGTAGGTAGTTACTTGGCTGACGTAACCTACGACCGATCGGTTTAATATCTCTGCATGTTCGAAACCCGCCGTCAGGAGTAGGATTTTCTACGAATCAGATATATCGCGAGGATGGATGCAGGCAAGAGGAGCATTCGTTCGAGGATCGTAGCTTCCACTGCCGCTACGACGACTCGACGTTTCTCTACGGAGTGTTCGATGGCCACGAAGGCACGAAAGTTGCAAACTTCGCCATGCAACGGATGGCCGCAGAAATTCTACTTGGCCAGCTGAATGGCAAATCAACAGACGAAGAAGTGAAAGAAGTTCTTCGGTAGCAAACAATGTTTCGCGTTCAACTTTTTCTCGTGTTAACTGCGATTCGCTACTCGCTGTTGTTTTCATTGTCGCAGACAGGCGTTCATAGCTGTGGAAAGGGGATACTTGGATTCCATCGGAGATCTCTTAGCCGAGAGAGCCAGCTTGCAGTTCGATATACCCGACGGATTAAATTCATATGAAACTTACCAAAAGTTCCCGCACTTGGTTCGTGACAATAATTAAATCGTATGCTCAGACTTTCGATACCGTCAGACGGTTTACAATGTCGGTTTTCATATAGGTGGACAAATTAAACGCGCTGAACTGTGAACTCTCCACGGGGAGTAGCGCGGTGGTTGCACTTATTTTTCGCGGACGATTGTACGTCGCCAACGTCGGCGACAGCAGGGCTTTATTATGCAAAACAGATTCGAATCAGGTGTTGAGAGTAGTGCAGTTGAGCGTAGATCACGACCTAAGAAACGAAGATGAACTCTTAAGATTATCTCATTTAGGATTAGATACAGATTCTATAAGGCAAGGTAGTTATAAAGATCGTGTCGGCTTGCGTATGGCATTTAATAATAATTTCTATCGAAGGATCTCGTCTTGGGAACCAAGAGACCACGCGTTGCCTTGGTAATTACCTCGTCAAAGGTGGTCATCGAGAATTCGAGGAGTTGGCGTCTGCTGCCGCGGAACCCGTTATCGCTGAACCAGAAATACACGGAGGGATAGAGCTTGATGATTCTTGCAAATTTCTGTTACTCATGTCTCGCGGACTTTACAAGTCGTTGGAGGAAGTGACCGGAGCCGAACAAGTTAATATAAAGTTAATCAATTACGCGGTTCAAGAGGTATCGGACGATCATCGCGCTCATTCCACGGCTCCGGGAGATTTCTGTCTCTACGCGATGGATTCTAGTTTCAGGTCCAGTCCACTCTAACGGGAGTCGCCCAGGCCGTTGTAGATAAAGTCGTGAGGATTCATCACGACATTAATATGAGCAATTTGCAAAATACAGTAACCACCGGCAAGCGAGAAGATATAACGTTGCTCGTACGAAATTTTAATTTCCCTTTACCGCACGCGCTCAGGAGTCCGACTACTCAGTCGGTCAGATTCAACCCGATCGTTGAATCGGCTCCGATCACAACGATGCCGGAGAATGATTATTCGAGCACCGGTATCACCGAAGAGACTTCCGATCTGTCGACTACCGAGACCTCGTCAACGTCGGACATGTACCCCATGGGCGCCAGACCGACCGACAGGAATACTAGGATCAAACCCTACGTCAGTTTTTCCGAATATTACGAGAATGTTGAGAAGAGGCGTCGGGAGGGAACGTTACCAGAAGGTATAAACTTTTAAGATGACTACATTGATATTTCATCTTGAATTCACGAAACAGAGAAGGTGCATCTCCGCGCGCGTGTGTGTGTATATATATATACGAAATATATTACTTTGTATACATGTGTTTCGAATTGCAATTAGAAATATATGTATAAATTTATTCAAAGTGGATATAACAAGTGAATATAAAAAAGATATTTCTTTAAAAAAGACGATCAAGATTCGACACGAGAATTTTGTCACGGTGACTAAAGATAAGAGCTAAACGTTGCGATAATGAGACACTTCTTTCGACGGGTCAGCAGAGTTTCCAATAATGACGTATGCGACGAGTCGTGCGTGTTACAAATACTTGGTCGGGTTACTCTTAAGTCTTTCGAACGCAGCCTTCTCGAGACATTCCCTATGATCGGGATGGGCAATCTGAATCAACGCGTTCGCTCTTTGACGTAACGTTTTCCCGAAGAGACATGCTATTCCGTGCTCGGTGACGATGTAATGCGCGTGGGCCCTGGTCACAACGATTCCACCACCTATGAAACAGATCAGATTTTCATTCTCTCTTCCGATTCGCTTCGATTTTTCCTATGAATGAATGATTTCGTACCAAGCTTGATTACGGGCTGTATCTTGCTCTCTCCTTTGCTGGTCACCGAGGGAAACGCGATTATAGCTCTTCCTCGGCCATCCTGACCCATCGCCGCGCCTCGAGTAAAGTCCAGTTGACCACCGAACCCAGAATACATCTTACAGCCTAAACTGTCTGAACATATTTGGCCGGTGATGTCCATTTCTATGCAGGAATTGATGGCAGTCATCTTCGGCTGTTGGGATATCACTCGGGGGTCGTTCACGTAGTTGATCGCAAGCATTTCTACACGAGCAAACGAACGTGTATTCATCGCGTCATTGAATCCTCTTCGGAAACCAAGTTATGCGAGTACACACCTACGAATGGATTGTTATGCAAGAAATCATAGACTCTTTTGGTACCGATCGCCAGGGAAGTGACCATCCGTCCCCTGTGCTTTATCTTCATTCTGTTTGAGATATTGCCTCGCTCAGCGAGATCCACCATCGTGTCGCCGAGTATTTCTGTATGAATCCCCAGATCCTTGTGATTGCCAAGGGAACAGAGAACGGCATCCGGTATATTGCCGATGCCGAGTTGCAAGGTCGCCCCGTCGTCCACGAGTCTTTGTGCGATGAGTTTGCCGATTTCTTGTTCGATCTCGTTCGGGGGAGTACTGGCTACACACGGCAAGGGGCAGTCGTATTTCACCGCCCAGTCGATGTGGCTGGAATGGATAACAGTGTCCCCGAACGACCTCGGCATGTGTTCGTTGACTTGAGCTGAGAAAACGAGAGTACTTATGATTGTCCGAAAGTTCGATCACTGAGCGAAGTGGAAACGTTTACTAACCGATGATCACTTTGGCCGAACTGACTGCGGCGCGCGTACAGTCTACGCTTACGCCCAAGGAACAGAAGCCGCGAGCATCAGGTACGCTGACGTGGATCAGCGCGACGTCCGGGACGATCCTCTTCTCGTAGAACAGCTTCGGCACTTCGTGCAGGAATATCGGGATGTAATCCGCTCTGCCATCGTTCACGGCCTCTCTCAGATTCGAGCCGATGTAGAAGCTCACCGATCTAAAGTGTTCTGGGAAGAAGGACAGATCGTGATTCTCATTGAAACAAGGATCGCGATGTCTTGACTTAAGATCATAGAATACTGTACTCTCAAATTCAGGACTGGCAAACGGCGCATCTCCTTCGAGGCCCATGTGGATCAATCGCACCCCGCGGAGGTTGTTGCAGACTCCGTGTTCGGTCATAGCGCGTATCAGCTCGTTCGGCGTCGCTGCACCTCCTTGTATGAATACCAGGTGCTCTGCGAGAATACAAATTTCGAATTGTACTTTTCCCGTAAACGCTATGCGTACGCCTTTGATCCGAGAGCGTCGTCCTCGGTACCTGAGTTGATAATTTTCACCGCGTCCTCTACGCAGACCCATCTCGGACATCGTTTCAGGGGTTGCAACGGTTCACGTAGGAATCGGACACCGCATGCATTGAACCTCTTGGCTGCTCCAATTTTGCCAAATGTGGACTCGAAATTTCGGCGTAATTTCAGGCCATACATTTTTATACGAATAAAATAATATACAACGCGTTAAAGAAAAAGAATTACAATAAATCAGTAGTTTTGCTAGAGTTTAGTCGGTTATATATGGTATGTACGTCGGAATTTAGATGACACATAATCAAAACAATTTTCTTTGATTTTAAATGTCAGTTTATGTCAAGTCACATTAGATCCGTTGCCATCTCCACGAATAGTATTTGAACGTCGGGTTTGCCGGTATTCGATTTTTCGATTTTCTCGATATATATGTATTTTCACATTGCGTCCCCTACAATAGACAATGAAATAAACGTACTCCGAAATGCATATGGCATTTGAAATTTAATTGTTTATGAGCTTGAGTGTAATCTCAATCGCCTGTTACAATAATTGCATTGTACAGAGGAACGATCTTCATTAATTTCATATAAAAAGTATTCGTTACTATTACAGTTATAACATTATCTCATTATTATTATTATTATTATTATTATTATTATTACTATTATACATCGTTTCGGTTGTTATGTCAATTGCGATTTTGGTCGCGTATTTCTAAATACTCGATAAATTAAAATAAAAGCTTTATCTTTATTCTTACAAGTTTCCGAGAACGATTAATTCTCGTTTGAAATGAAAATCTTTGCTTGCATCATTTCGAATGCAGTCTGCTACAGTGACGTAGCCAGACGTCTATTTTTAGTACACATTTTCCGAAGTCCGCGTTGTCATTTTATTAACATGGAGACAATTACAATTTATACAAGATTGGGAATTAGTTTTGTGACAGTCGTTCTCGATACGTGCAGGTTTTCGCGCGCAAAGAGAAACAGCCATCACGAAATGCTATTTGAAAAGAATTCGTCGAGTATCGTACGCTGGGAAAATGCTTATGGCGCCGGCATCACTTTCAAGCGTTCAAAGGCGGCTTTCTCTAACTTCTCTCTGTGATCTGGATGGGCAATCTGAATCAATTCGTACGCTCGTTGCTGTAGACTTTTACTGAACAGACTGGCAATACCGTACTCAGTGACGACGTATCGGACAACCGCTCTGTTTGTCACGACACCGGCACCTAGAAACAGGTAAAAATGCGAAATTAAAACGCTGATCGAACGAAAAGCGGAAGAGGTCCTAGCAAACAAGATCACATGCCTAATTTTAAGACCGGTTGAATTTTACTCTCGCCCTTCGAAGTACTGGATTGCAAAGCGATGATAGGCTTCCCTAGATGATCGTCACTGATCGCTGCACCGGTTATAAAGTCTAATTGTCCTCCGAATCCAGAGTACATCCTAGTTCCGATACTGTCGGCGCAGATTTGACCGGTGATATCGACTTCTATACACGAATTAATGGCAGTCATATTAGGCTGTTGAGACACTATTTTCGGATGATTCACATAGTCGACCGCCAACATCTCTGGAAAAAAAGACATCGGGAAGACAAGGTAAGACGATTCCAGTTCAATGGGAAGGAAGAAGTGCGCATACTGCTGCCGCGGATCTTACCTATGAACGGATTGTTGTGCATAAAGTCGTACAGTTTCTGTGAGCCGACGCAGAACGAGCCGACGATTCTGCCTTTATGCATGGATTTACAATTGTTTGTGACGCATCCCTTGTTAACCAGTTCCACCACACCGTCGCTGAACATTTCGCTGTGGATCCCAAGGTTCTTGTGATTTCCAAGGAGCGACAGTACCGCGTCCGGTATACTTCCGATACCCATTTGGAGCGTGGCTCCGTCCACCACTAGATTCTCCGCGATGTATTTCCCGATCTGTTGCTCCTCTTTCGATGGGGCTTTGACAGGGTGTTCCGGAAGCGGTGCATGGTGTTCCACAGCAAAATCCAAATGACTAACGTGAATGAGAGCATCGCCGAACGTCCTTGGCATGTGCTTGTTCACCAATGCTGTGAACATTTGCGAAGAGGGATTGAACCAGAGAACGATTTCGTAGTTCGGATGTGATCGCGACTTAGAAGATTCGAAAATTTACCTACGATATATTTACAGTGGCTCACGGCGGATCGCACGCAATCCACGCTAGTGCCGAGCGAGCAGTAGCCGTGCTTGTCCGGCGGGCTGACGTGAACAAGCGCGATGTCTGGTTTTACGTATCCTTCCTTAAATATTCTCGGGATCTCGTGCAAGAAGATTGGAACGCAGTCGGCGTGTCCGGCGTTCACGGCCGCCCTCACGTTGCCCCCGATGAACAGACTCATGGATCTGAAGTGTTCTACGGACCATCGTAATTATATAATTGTTCAAGGTCGAACGGCAAGTGAGTTGTGGTCTTTGATAAAAACAGCTGACATATATCGTGTATTGATGTCAACAACTAATTTTCATGCATCCCACCGACGTACTTGCATTCTCTGGCTTGGCGAACGGAGCCGGACCCTCGAGGTGCATGTGGTACAACCGAACGTTTCTCACATCGGATCGAACCCCGTAGTCAGTCATCGCCCTTAATAATTCCGTCGGCGTTGCCGCCGCACCCTGAACAAACACGATTTGATCTGCAAAACAAAGAAGCAACGTATTTAATTCTTAAACGGGACCCGAATCAATCATCTCAACGGTTTAAAATAGGCAAATAGAATTTGATCCGCGTTTGTTTGTACCCTCGATCGAAACTAATAACGTAGCACATTTTGCGTCCAAGTAAAAATCTTAGACGACGTTCCATGACTGCTAAAGATAAATTCAAGTTGGATAAACAAGCATCTCAAATAACAACGCGAGTTCATGTATATGTATCGACACGCGATGCTTGAATTCCGTCGATGTGACTTTGAACCTCAAGTCCGAAGACCCAAAGTGTGCAACGTCTTAAAAAGCAATGCTACAAAGTTATTATTAAACGAACGATCGAAGTAACGATTGATAAGACAACGTTTATGAAACAAGGAACTTCATTAATAATCAACGAATTCAAGTTGATATTATTTATTTCGTTGTACAAAAATAATTGCGATTACATATATCGGTCTGTTCAACGAACTAGATATCGTGAAGAGTCCTGCCGTTTATCTTCTTCGCCAGTGAACGTACGTGATTCACCACTGGGTCGAGGCAATTATATCGAGGTTTAGACAATTTTATAACTTCGAACGATAAGAATCTTCCATCGATTTCTTCACTGGGAAACGATTGCGATTATGTTCGTTGTTTAATCAACGTTTATTGGCGCCAATGGTAGATGTTCATTCAAGATAATCATAGGGATGTAATCTATGCTAATCACACAATTTAATTAAAACTCTCCGTACAAATACTCTACCATCCAAGTTATCAATATGACTAATAAGTTTATTACTTCATTTGTCTTTAATCAAATGACGTAAAATCGGCGAACAAAGAACGTCTTTCTTGGATGCACGACTAAGGCAAATGATCGACCGTTCCATACAATTAACAGGGAAGTACATATTTCCTTTTTACGGTGGACAATCATCAATTCGATAGTATACGTATTATTTTAGATTTCATGGATCAGTTCATTCGATAAATAATAACTAAAGGAATCAAGTCGATGTTACGCAAGACGTTTCGGTTAAAGTTACTGTAACTCCTGCCCTATTCCAGTACATGTACGTCCTAGCTCATCGAATCAATCATCGGTAGTTCGTCTTCATTGAATATGCCGTAGAATGAAATGGATTACGTAACGCGACGCGTATCAGTCTTTTAAAGCAAAATCGTATAAGTAGACTGTAGACGGCCACTTCAACATAAGCAAGCGCGTCTTTACTTTTAATTATATTTGGATTTCAGCGTGTCACGTCGACAATAATTTATGCGCTCTCGTGACCTCCATATCTTTCGCAGAAATTACTTCGCATTCATAAATCCTTAACAAGTTTAAAAAAATATAGAGAATAGTAAGTAAAACGTGTTGGGTCATTCATTAAATATCGTATATCGAGGAGGCGTGAAAGGTACCAAGGCAAGAATTTGGTTCTATTCGACATTTAATTTATATAGAAGCGTGTTGTTCACAGATTCTCTGGAAATTGTCCAAAATTATTTAAAATTAGCATCTAAACAAAATTAATTCACTGTTTCTTCGATGAATTGGTTCAAGGAGAGTCATTGACAGGAATTCAAAGTGGGTAATCGTCCTTTTAGATGGTCGTAAAATATCGTACACACTGAATACAGGTTCGTACATAACGCGTATTTGTTCTGCATACTGTATCAAGGTTAATCTATTGAAAATTAGGCTGCCGTGACACACGTTGCGATCTGGGACCTGGGACAGGGAACTGATTAAAAGGATTAATCTTCGCCGCATGATCGAAACGATCGGAATGAGATATTAAAAGACGGTATGCGTAACATGTTCAGGGAACAAAATAATTACCGGAATCTAGTTCTGCTTTCTCGATGGCTTCGTCGGCGGTTCCTAGCCAGCATGGTTCCTTGTCTGGTATAGGCATTGACGGTTCCTTCACGTATGTGAAATAGGATTTCTTCGTCGATGGTATGCACATACATCGCGACGGAACAGTTGTCACCGATTTAAGAGTTTTAGTTAGATTAACTATTCGTTTAAAGGCCGCCATGCTTCGGGTGTGTACTGTGTTTTTCTGTCAGTGCAGCAAGGGAACACAGTGTCGAGTGGGACGATGATAAAGTACCGATTCGTTAGCAAATTACACGGGCTTACACGGTATCGACGCCAAATATAGAAAACTGTTTAAAGATATGGAATAACACTCGATAAGAATTTAGTCTTTTAAATTCACATATATCCTCGAACCAGTCACCACCGTGTTTCACTGCTGGCTCTCACACTGCCGCTGCCGCTCACTGCCGCACACTGGCCGCACACATACTTGCCTCGCGCTTTCACGCTGCGAAATTATCAGCAGCAGGCGCGTATTTGAAACTGGTAGTATATTTACGTATGTATGAATTGGGCCAAGGATAAGAATTTATGATATTCTCAGTTTTTTAATGAATTCGGAACGAACATCATCTTAAAAAGCATACGCATATCGATTCCCCTCCACCAAACCTGTTTTCAGCCTACTATTCTTCCTCAAACTACCAATGTTATTCTTATCAAAATATGTCGTATTTTCCGTGTTCACTGGATCCAAGATCTACATTTACTTGTCGTACGATAAATCATTGGAAATATCGTCGTTACGTCATTCCTTGAACCGTGCATTCAAACAAACCGCTATCACGAGATGTGGTTAGTTTCGTAAGATTTGAGGAATTTCGATAGTATAGAGATTTGGTTCTTTTTCTGCTTTTATCATACAAATCCTTATTTAGACCGATTTTCTATGATCAATTTCAACTGCAATCGGTAATGTCCGAAAGGATTTTATTGCTAATAAAGATGAAAAGAACCGTGTAGTATAAGCCACGTGATTGCACGTGCCGTTTCGTCTATCTTTGTCGAATACTTGGTTATTATATCTATCGATTTGTTAAAGCAAAATTTACTCGATGCCAAAGTCTTATACCATCAAAGTTCTATGTAGGCAATAGTAAATTCGATCAAGTGTGGTTAGCCAGCTTTGACAAATTATTGCAACGATCGTTGTACTATTTTTCGTAATTTGTATCGGACGTTCCAAGCCATCCCCACCGTCGACATGTTAGTCTGTCTCTTTTCATCCACCAGCACCAACACCAACAGCGGTTTCAGTAATAGTCAGTCATCTGCTGTTTGGCCGACGTAACGGATCAGGGAAATCACTCAAGAAAAATGTATTCGAAAAGCATGGGAGAACGTCAAGCCACCAGGGAACAAGTCCTGGCTGTCACGAGGGATTTCATTTCGCAGCCTCGGCTCAGTAAGTGGTAATTTTGTTTCACTACAAACCCAAGAAGCAGACGTTTCGAAAAGCACCAAGTACTTGGCGCAAACTGGGCGTAGCAGCGATCGATCTGTGACCAGTCAGCTGATGTCGAATGCGTTCGCTCTTTAATCGTTCCTAGTGAACAGTAAAAGGACAGACGATTCGAATAGACGCAGACACTTTGAATTATTCTGTACGTGATCCGAATAGATCGATCGACGATCGGAATAAATCTCCGAGAGTCGTACACGAACCGATGCTTGTCCGTCATGTGACTATACGAAAAGGGAGGCGCACAATAAACATGTATTTTACCTTTGCAGCGTACAAAACTGTCTCGGGTGTAAATGGACCGCTGGTAATATTGGACGAAGTGAAATTTCCCAAGTATGCAGAGATCGTTCAATTGAAACTTGCGGATGGTTCTCTGAGATCCGGTCAAGTGTTGGAAGTATCTGGTTCGAAGGCCGTCGTCCAGGTGTTCGAAGGCACCTCTGGCATCGATGCGAAACACACCCACTGTGAGTTCACCGGCGATATTCTTCGGACCCCGGTGTCCGAGGATATGTTGGGCCGTGTGTTCAACGGATCTGGAAAGCCGATCGACAAAGGTCCTCCTATCCTTGCCGAGGATTACTTGGACATCGACGGCCAACCGATCAATCCGTGGTCCCGTATCTATCCCGAGGAGATGATACAAACCGGTATCTCAGCCATCGACGTAATGAATTCCATTGCTCGTGGCCAGAAGATTCCGATTTTCTCAGCTGCTGGTTTACCACATAACGAGGTACATGTATAAGTCTTTAACGAGGAATGATTAAATGTCGAATCGATTCGTTACCACATCGATGTATCCGTAGATCGCCGCTCAAATTTGTCGTCAAGCTGGCCTCGTGAAATTGCCTGGCAAATCGGTTTTGGACTCGCACGAGGACAACTTTGCTATCGTGTTCGCCGCTATGGGTGTCAACATGGAAACCGCTCGTTTCTTCAAGCAGGATTTCGAGGAGAACGGTTCGATGGAGAACGTGTGCCTCTTCTTGAATTTGGCCAACGATCCTACCATCGAAAGAATTATCACTCCGCGTCTCGCTCTCACGGCAGCCGAGTTCTTGGCTTATCAGTGCGAGAAACACGTGTTGGTCATCCTCACCGACATGTCCTCTTACGCCGAGGCTCTTCGAGAGGTTTCGGCCGCTCGCGAGGAAGTACCGGGACGACGTGGTTTCCCTGGTTACATGTACACCGATTTAGCCACCATTTACGAACGAGCCGGTCGAGTGGAAGGCCGCAACGGTTCCATTACTCAGATTCCCATCTTGACCATGCCCAACGATGATATCACTCACCCGATTCCCGATTTAACCGGCTACATTACCGAGGGACAGATCTACGTTGACCGTCAACTTCATAACAGGCAGATTTATCCGCCTATCAACGTGCTCCCTTCGCTGTCTCGTCTCATGAAGTCTGCCATCGGCGAAGGCTTCACGCGAAAGGACCACTCGGACGTGTCCAATCAATTGGTATGTTTCGCGCCTCTCGTCTGTGTCTCTTTTGAACTGATGACGAGATTAATTTGACGATTGTTTCAGTACGCTTGTTACGCCATTGGAAAGGATGTACAAGCTATGAAAGCTGTCGTCGGTGAGGAAGCCTTGACGCCGGACGATTTGCTTTACTTGGAATTCCTGTCCAAGTTCGAGAAGAACTTCATTTCGCAAGGAAGCTATGAGAATCGTACGGTCTTTGAATCTTTAGATATTGGTTGGCAGCTGTTACGTATCTTCCCGAAGGAGATGTTGAAACGAATTCCAGCCAGCACTCTGGCCGAGTTCTATCCGAGAGATTCGCGTCATTAATTTTCCTTATTCTAGCCTTTGAACTGATTTTCCTACCTAAAAGAATTAATGGTAAAAATTGTAAATTGAACAAGTAGGAAGACTACGAAGAGGCCTGATCCATTTTGATCCGACCGCAAAATAATAGAATTGTTGATCGAATCTATAATTAACGTGTTTTTGCAACTCGAATGGCTGGACGGAATGGATGATGAGTAGAACTCAGAAATCGTACGTAGGATCGCGAGGATCAGAGTCAGATTGTACGATTTGATGTTGATTCAACTGTAATTGTTTAAACTATAATTTTAATCATAGCAAAGATTTGTGTCTTCACGAGCGTGCACATACAAGAAGTGAACGTGTCAAGTGTAATATATTGTTCAGTATTAACATAGAGAAAGATGCGATTGTATAACTACATTTTTCGGTCCTACATTCCAATATAAAACTTTTATCCGTGAACGGTCGAAGGGAAACAGACAAGGTATTTAACGACCGTGTATATGGTTCGTCCGATCATGACATGTCGCTTTGATATTGTACAAGTTGAGATACACACTCGTTTTAAAGGAATGCATAAAACCTAGTGCACGTATCGAGGTACGTGCGTTCGTTTCACGTTACTGTTATAATTATATTAAAGTGCAAATGCATGAATAAATAATGTACATAAACAGAGAAACGCGTAACTATGAGTCGAAGGTAAAGACAAGCGTCTATGTTCTTCTTTTTATTATTTTACAAGAGAATAGAATGAGCCAAGAAAACATGGTTGTAATAACATCTTATAAACTATATGTGTTCATTCTGTGCAAAACATCATGTTACATATTTTCAGAATCTGTGTAATGTGTACTTAGTTTCTTTTTGTTTTATAAATTCAAAGTATTATATCGTAATCAACAGTCAGGTTTTAGCCGCTAATTGGTGGACTGCTAGTTGAACACGGAGCTCGATGCAAGCGTCCTTTTCTTCAATGATACTACGGATCAGAGTGGTCATCTTTTTCTGGAAAATAGATTAGTAAAAATACGAATACCGATTCAAGTTTATCAGGCGCTCGGTATCTCGGACGCACGATACCTCAAGCAATTGATTTTCTTTGATTAGTTGGATCATAGCTGTCATCTCTGCTTCATTCGGCGAATGTATTCTCTCCTTTGGTTTTATCTTTTCCGGGCCGCGTTCCGATAACAACTCGATTAATCGTTTAATCTCGTGCCTCTCCTGATTTATTCGCGACTTTAATAACGCTTGCATATTTAACAGTTCTTCGTAAATTAAACTCTCTCTCAACTTATCAATAGCATTCTCAGGCTCGGATTCCACAGCTGAAACTAAATCCACGCGATTAACTACATGCGAAACAACTTTACCGATTTTAATTATACCATTCTCATTCGTTTTGGACAAAGCGGTTTCCTGTTCCGCGTTAGACTGGGCTGCGAACGCAGATGTGTCTGCATAATCAACGATGTCCTTGTCAACCGTATGAACATGATTCCGATCGCTCTGCGGAACGTTTGTACTTATTGGTTCTTTATTGTCTTCTGAAACATGCGATTTGTTGGTTTTCTTTAGCATCAAGCTAGACGTTGACGGGGTCTCCAACTTCGCATGTTCCCCATCCTCTTCCTCCGTCCTCGTCTTTTGTACATTTGACTCTGTCACAGTCTCGTCATTTGATTTCACCTCCTCGTCTAAACTCTTTTGCGCAGCACCTTCCATCTTTTGGACAGTTTTATACTTCCTCTGAAAAGACGGACAAAGATCGATGTACGCACGTCCCAACGATTTACATACATATTTCTTGGACAATTGCTAACAACATCAGACCTTCAATTGCGTTATCATACGTTGTACTTCCCACAATTGTTCCTCGCGTGATTTCGTTACGAAACCTGCGTTCATTTGCATATGTATTTGCGATAGCAACGATTCTTGCTTAGCTAATTCAGCCGCTATACTTTCGACGGTATCCGGAAGATTCACGCTTCCGGCTGCGAGCGGCGGCACATATTTCGTTAATTGTACATTAGGGAAAAGGGCTTTACAGTGACACAACAAAGCTAATAGTAGCCTGTGACTCATTTGCAATACAGGGCTTAATGTCATCGAGATACTTTGAGCATTCATTTTAGTCGTCTTTTCCTGGAAAATAGTTTCACATAAGACGAACGTTATCACGGTTTCCTATCCCTTCTTCGACGTACTCGTGCCGTGACGTGATCCAAGTGCAGTATGATCCACGCGAGAAGAACGTTGTTACATTCGGGTAGTTGTTCAGCCAAATGTATCAATTGCGCTTCTCGCTGCGCGACATCCTTCGTGGATGCCGCTTGTTCGAATCTAGATATCATCTCGCTGCTCTCTAGAACGGGCTCTGGCAATTCCCTGTACCCGAAACAATTAAATTTGCAGACTTTTTCTACTTTAGATACATTCGTCCGCTTTTCAACGTAAAATTACGTACAGACCTAAGAAATAATATTAATAAACTGGTAGCTACTGTAGGTTCGAACTCGGACAGATTCACAGGTTCCCGATGATTGTACAGCTTCTTTAAATATTGAACTTTTGATTTCACTCCTGGGACTTTGTACAGACTCTCCACGTTCATTCCATGTTCTTCCACAAAATCAATGCAGTCTCTCACGACCAAGGGTAGCTCCACTCCATCGTGACAACGACTTCGTTCCACGGCCAAATGCAGGCTGACACCAAACACCGGCTGCTCCTCTAGGTGCATCATAAAAAGATAATTTCAACTTCTGCGAAACGTTCGTCGGGGAAAGTCGGAGTCTCACCACCAATGTCTAATCCATCTTCTCCAGCGTGCTTTCCTTTTTTACGGTCCTTTGATTTTTGCTTCGCTTTATCCTTTTCCTTCTCCTTGCGTTTCTCCTTCTCTACATCCTTGTCATCTTTATCCTTCTTCTTTTTCTCTTTCTCCTTCTCTCCATCCTTCTCCTTGCCCTCTTTTTCCCTGGATTTTTCACGTTTCTCTTTCTTCGATGGGAATTTAAAAGCTTTAGTCTTCTTCGACTTTGAAGGACTTCTGCGAGTTCGTTTACACGTTAAATCAATTTGTACATGACGTACAAGCAGATTACACGTTATACATTGTAAAATCTAATCTTTACTTTATGTGCCTATCGTCCTTAAGCTCTCTGTATGTATAGGACAAAAACTTTAATGATAAAGTAAACATTTACTACGGAAATAAGAATCAAGATGATCAGTAATATTAAATCGTAAATATTCGTAATGAGTTTGTTCTCCATTTGAAGACGGTTGCTCTTCAAATTGTAGTTACACGTATACTGAACGAGTCTAATCAATACGATTACTAATTTTAGATCTAGCAGCGAGGGTTAATTAACACCCCAGTGCCAACAATATGTGAAAATTAAAATTACTTTCCACAGGAACTTTATGCTTAGATAGTAATTGGAAGATTCTGAATGAACGCACGTACGAGACTTAAAGCTTTAAGGAGAAGAGACTAACGAAACAGTTGCAAGTGTAGACTGATATTTACGATAACTGGAAATATGACTGTCGTCAGAAAATATTACTTTGTTTCTTGGTCTTCGTCAGGGGAACTTTCACCCTCTAAGGTGGCATATCCTCGATCCTTTCGGTCTTTCTTTTCCTTCCGTTTACCACCGAGGAGATCCTTCTTAGAATGTTTCTCGTGTCCACCATCATCGCTGACTACAAACATGCGTAACGATCAATTAATCGGGATACAAATGCGACGTATCGGTCGATCAGACACACTAGTCGGTGATACGGTGTCACGAGCGTTTGATCGTCTGCATGACACATGTATAACCTGCCCCGTGAAAATGACCGTCGCTCGAGAATCACTGGATAATCCGTTAAACCATGTTACGTACAGTCGCTCTCGTTACTCCTCTTGGCAGACTCCGAGGCGTACAATCCGGGAAATTCTTTCGCTACATCCGGACTCTCAAAATCCATCCTCCGTTGCTAACCAGTGCGCTTCGTGCGCTGATGCGCTTGCTAGCTTCGAGCTGCGCTGTAACTGGCGACCCTAGCCCCTGGCGACTGATCACCCACCGAGCCGAGCGACTTAAAAATCTTGCTACCGACCTATCGATTGTCTCGTTCGAGTTCGACCGTTCAAACGCTATTCGATCTGTGTGGATCGATCTTTTGAACGCGTATCTTGAGATCAGTACGAATATTAGTGGTTTTAAAACATTTCGTTCACTTCGGAACATTGCCACGGTTTAAATACGTGTCCGTCGGATTCTTTGCTGGCCATGTACGTGAAATACGCTTGCTTGAACGACTTCGAAGGGAATTTGCCGTACTCCATCGTGTTCCACATCGTCCGACTGTACATCACTCTGTTCTTGCGAACCTGGCTGAGGAATATTTCCTTCTTCATCGCAATCTACAGAAAAACGGAACGTGAGGCGAACGTGAAGATTCTAATTTGTCCGTTCGATCTATCGCTCATTCTCAGTAAAACCTTTCGTTTCATTTTATACGCGCTATCAAAGGTCAATTTTCGAAGTTGAAGCTTGGTCATCTTAATTGGCGGCGGTTCGATGGACAAAGTCTTGCCTTGAAGAGCGTCCAACATATCCCACATCTTAAGACTATCGCGTACTGAGTTTACTGAAAATATCGTGTTATGAACGTGAGTGTGAACCCAATTGCCATATCGCTGTACCAAATCTAGAGTATACGAGAACGATGCTTACGCTTATCGGTTTCGCTGAGTACAAATCCTTTTCTGTACATCAGCCAATAACGCAACTGTGGCAGTAGGAAACATTTTGGTAACTGCGCGAACAAATATCCTTCTGCTGCCATTTTTTTCAATTCGACCTGATCATCAAACAATCATCGTAGTTACCATATTATAGTTCATCTTTATACTCGACTCTTGAAATTGAAAGCTAGTATTTACTTTTACTATGGCCATCAAGTAACCCCCGACGAATTCATCGTGAACATCATCTTCTTCGACGCTCTCCTCTCCATTTTCTTCCTCCTCGACCTCTTCTTTCCCACCGTCACCTTCCTCATGGCCAGATCTTTTTTTCCTTTCCAACGTTTTATGCATTTTTCCTCTACTCATTTCTTTGGCCATTTTCGGTGAATCTCCTGTTCTGGCTTTATCGGACTTTGTTTTCACGTCCGTTTTACTCGGAGAACCTCGGTGTCTCCCGTCCGTGATTTTACTTCTGCTGGGCGTTTCTTTACGCGGATGATCCGTCATCTTGCTCCTGCTGACAGTTTTCGTATGCAACGTCTTTCCATCGTCCCGAGCGGACGTTCGTTTTTGCCAATGATCCGTCAACTTGCTCCGGCTGATATGCTTCTGCGGATGGAACGTCTGTGCGTCGTCCTCTTCCTCGTGTTCACCGTCCTCCGTTTCCTGCTCCTCACCGCACGGTTCCGTGCAACCATGATCCTCGTGCGTGTGATACACCGGCTCGGGAGCGTAGATCTTTCGGTAAGCGTCTATCACGGCCTGCTGTCTGCGCTTCCTCTCGGCGAGCTCGAGCTCTTCTGGTCTCGGCAACGGTCCGACGGGAAGCTCCTTCATAGGTGACCAGTGCCGATGCAGACAGACGCATGGTATATCTTCTTGGCTGGCTTCCGGGGTGCGAATAGGAGTGGCCATGTGAACACCGGCTACCACTTGTTTCGGTGGTAAATGGGTATAATTCTCGGCGACTCCACTTATACAGTATTTGACATCGTCCACATATTCGTCGTCCCTTGGAATTCTTTTCACGTTCGATATCATCAGCTTCGTATTGGGTACCAGCGGTTTTGAGATATCCTGCACGTTCACGAACGGTTGTTTCTTCAGCGACTTCAGCCGCTTCTGACGCTCCTTGTACTTCACTTTCTCTTCCCTGTGCTCGAGGATCTTCCTCTCGTACTTGCACTCGCAGACCGGTCGTTTGGTCTTGAGCTTCCGCTGGGGTATAGGACAGCCTACTTCGTCGAACTTGGCGCACTTTAGCCAGCAGGGCATGTTGTCCCTGCATCGGGTAAAGTAATCCAGAAGCCCGACGTCTTTGAGCGCGAGGGTCCATCGTTCCTTCGGTGGCTTCGCGCTCATCAGCGTCTCTCTCGTCGCCTCGAGCTCTCTCGCCTGCGCAGCCTTTTCCTCTTCTTCGTCCGTGGTGCGAATCCCGTACGTGTCGACGTATTCGTTGCAGCCGCAGGTCTCTTTATTCTCCGGTCGTCCCTCAGATATCTGAGGAGTGGCGTACCTCTCCAGCAGTCGGATATGTTGATGTTTGCGTCGAGTCTGACACATGTCATACGGATTCTCGTAGAGATCGTACTCGGGCACGTATTCGTCGCTGTTCCGAGGACTCGGTGGTGGAGTATAATAAAGGGCACCTTCTATGACTTGCGTCTTTTCCTCCTCTTTCTTTTTCTTCCTGAGCAACTTCTTCTTGTCACCAGCAACTTCGTCTTTCTTACCACCGATAAGCCCCCCGATCGCATATTTCAATATCTTCTTGGTCGCTCGGATCTCTCGGCAACGACACGGCCTTCCTCCGGTCCTCGTGTCCACCGTTTCCGGGGGATAGTCGGGTTCGGTCAGATAGACCAACGTTTTCTTTGCCGGCAACTCCTGTTCCGACTTCGTTTTCCACCCGCAAGGACCCTTGGGCGGTAATTCCTCCCCAGCTTCTTCCTCCACTTTCGTTTCCTCTTCGGATTCCGTGTCCTCGTATTCTGTACAACATTTCGTCGTTCCTACTTCCGGGATTTCTGCTGGTTTCACATCGCGAGGATGAAGATCGGAAGACGTGAGCATGGTCTTTAACTCCTGGATCTTTGTCTTGAGAGACGTCTCGGGATCCGAATCGTCGTCGGTGTCCCTTCTTCTGTGATGATGTCTCCCTCCTTTCTTTCCCAAACTTCCCGACGACTTCCTCGCTCTCTTTCTTTTAGAATCTATTTTCCCCGACTCGACCGTCTTCGTTTTCGATCTCGGATTCTTCTCTTCTCTCCTCTTCTTCTCGGGATTGTCTCTCTCACGGCTCGTCACGCGTGTATTAGGTTCAGATCTTCTATCGGCGCTGCGCGTGCCACGATGCGGAGAAGACGATTCCTTGCCGGGGTTCGGTCTGCGTCCAGGAGAGCCAGACATTTCTCTACGGGAACCGGACGGCTCGCTACCAGCGTCGAATCTGCGAGAAGAAACGTCTCTGGATTTACCGATGCTAGGCTGCGACACCAACGTTTGTTTCTCGGTCTTTGGGCCGCTCTTTGGGGGCTCCCTCTTCGGTGATTCGCCAGGATTCGGATTGGAGATCACTTTAGGTTTATTAGCAGTCCCGTCGCGACTGGCCTTACCAGATCTACCAGTTGACACTTCGCGACTTCTACTACCAGATTTACTAGGAGTCGGTTCGCGACTCTTTGCACCAGGTTTACTGACCGTCGCTTCCCGGCTGGTCCTCTTCGCACGCTTTCGATCTACATTCTGATCACGTTCGCCCTTCGATCTCGCTGCGTGTTTTCGATCCACTTTCTCATCGTACGTCGAAGGTATCATTTTGCTACTCTTTTGTCCACTCATTGATCTCTTACTCGTGATGCTGTGGACCGATCTCTTAGATCTAGATTTAGTCGTCTTCTCTTCGCTCCTGCGTTTCGACGTGCTATAGCGAGACTTGCTCTTCTTCGCTTCCTTCAACGAACGTTTCCTCCCATGATCGGAAGAACTTTTTTTCGCTTGCTTCGAGCCATGTTTTCTCACGTCCCCGGAAACACGCTTGGACGGTCCGACCGTCTTCTCTTCGCCTGCCACTGTCGTTCCAGATGGTACGGGCGTCGCCGGTGGTCTCGGAGAGCTCAGCTTCAACAACGTTTTGAAATCGGTTTCGGACTCTTTCTCCGTCGGTGCCGTGCGATATATATTCCACGGGTCATCGTAACCAGGATAAGTAGGATCCGGGACAAATTTCTTCACCGTTTTCTCCACTATTTTCTGCCTCCTGCTCTCTATAGCTTCCGGACTCATGTAACACTTATCACCGCGCAGTCTCTTCTTCTCCTTCTTCGGCGGAGGCGGTGGCTGGACCACGAGATCCTCTTCTTCCTCTTCTTCTTCCTCTTCTTCCTCGAGTTCCTCGTCCATTTCTCCCGGAATCTCTTCCTTGATAGTGATCTCCACTGGTCTTTCGGGCACCCGTTCTCCGAACGGACCTTCGCAGACTGCTCGACCGGGTTTCGTACCACATGGAGGTCCCTATAAAAATCGTACACTCCGTTTTACGCCGTGACGCGTCTCACGCGCGTTACGAGAGTGAAACGTAATAGATTTACCCTGAGTATCTCTTTCCGTTCTTTCTCGAGTTCCGCCAACTCCGCGGGAGTCAGAACATGCAGGGTGCCCCAGGGCGCACCGCAGACGCCCATACCGTGCTCGTCACCGCACGGCGGAAATTCCGCGATACCGAACATATTCTTCTCCTTCCCGTAGTCGAGCTTTAACGCTGCCTCTCGTTCCGCCCTTTCTTTCTTCTTCTGCATCATGACCAACGCGTTCATGAACGGACTTCTTCTGCACGACTTATCCCCAGGATACATTTTGCAGGAATAGGCGGGTGATTCTTGTGGTCTGAACTTGTGCCCGAAGCACAGACCGTCGTCCTTCGTCCACGGGATGTTGTCGTGACTCAATTCCGGAGTCAGACCCTTGGTGAACATCTGCTGTATGGCGCACACGCACGGTGGGACGTTCCTAGGCGGCCTGGGCGGCGAGCGTTCTATGACTCGCCGCGGCATGCGAATCATCTCCTTCTGCGATCCCGTGATAAAGTACTGCGTCTCGCCCGTCTCGGTGGTCACCCCGCTTATCACGACGTTGTCCTTGATCACGTCCTCCGACGCTATATAGTCCAGCAGATTGACCGTGGACTCCGGAGGTGTCGGCGCGGGAGAGTGCATTGCCATCGAACCTACGATGTATTTCTTCTTGTTCTCGTCCTCGACCACAGTGTCCACCACGAAGTAAGGCAGCTTCGTTTCCTTCGCTTTCAAGTACGATTTCCTCGTCTGTCTGCAAGAGCAACAGCTGTCGCAGGTAGGCTCCGGGAACACCAGTTTCGTTATAGCCTCGATAGCCTTTATCATTCTGTTCGCCTCTCTCTCCACTTTGCGATACTCCTCGTCGACGTTCTGCAGCCATTCCTGCCACTGGCGGGACAAATGTTTCCTCCCTTCCGGGTAGATCTTATTGGGTCCGTCGCCGAGATTCAGTACCCCGAAGAATTTCTCGTTGCTGTTCGACGGCGTGACGTTGGCGACTCCGGTCATCTCGTAGGTGACGGGACAAGTCGGCGGCTCCTCCGAAGCGCCAGATATCACGTAATGCGCGTGTTTCTCGTCGAGCCACGATTTCTTGTTCGGCTGCGGCGGCTGTAGGACTCCGCAGATCTTGTACTCAACCGGCCCCGGTTTCTCGCTGATTCCGTTCAGAACAAAATCGAATAGCGTATTCTCGTATAGAGGCGGTACGTTCAATCCGCTGAATTTTCGTTTCACGATCTTCGTCTTTTCCTCATCGTTCCTAGCCTTCTCCTCCAACACCACGCTCAGTCGCTTAGAACTGCGTCGTTGGAGCCCGTCGCCCGTACTATTCATTTTCGTCGCGTCGAGGTACGAACCGTCGTTGGGAGGAAGAGACCGATCGGTTCTGCTCGAACGCTTAAATTTCTGCTTCGATCTAGATCTCCCCATGTCCTCGACGTCACGCTTCTTGATAGGTACGCGCGAGACCGGTCGATCGCCAGGAGGATTCTCGTCCTCCTTGGCCCTCGTATCATAATTACGCGGACGTTTTTTGGGGATTCTGGGAGAATCGGACGTCCGTTTTCCTTCGACGAACGACTCAATTCTTTTGCCCTCCCGTTCGTAGTGCTCGTCGCCTGGCTCTTCGAAACTGCTCACGATGCAATCCTTGGGAGGTAATATCGATCGTGGTATCGCGAGCGAACGTCGATGTATCCGCCATTTCTGTAGCAGATGAACGTAAGACACCCAGTCCGGTCGCACGAAAAGCTCTTCTTTGTAGGGCGAATCCATTCTCTCTCTCGTCGGTATCGTCGGCGGTGTGGCTGAAGTCAATTTCGAGATAGACGGTCAGTCGCGAGCAGCGGTAAATGGCGTAGATCAATGAATCGTTTTGTTCGAGATCCTTACGTTTCGGAGGTATCTCTACCTCTTCCACAGGAGGCAAACGTTCGTGGAGCTCGACGATGGCCTCGGGCAAGGAAGTAAATGCGATGGCCGTTAAGACGATCCTCTCGTTGCAGTCGTAGAACGACTCTGAAATTTCGAGATACCGTCGTTTAAAAGTCTCGCGAAGACGAGAGGTACGATACGAGAGCGTACTGTATCCCTCGTCCTCGAAATAATTTCCTGTCATCATTTTATAAATTTCCCTCAGGAAGTCGGTCACTTTGCGGGTAGTCTCCAGTAATTTTTTAAGGACCTCCGGTGAAAGTTTGAAGAACGTAGACACGATTCCAATCGCTGTGACCGCTCTCTGAGTACGCCCCGTTACTCTCTCTTCGCGATCTCTCTGCATCACGCATTGCAGCAACCTCAAGTTCATCATCTACGAATTCCGGAGCATGTCGTTATCTTCGATCGAAATAAAAATCGTGGTGCGCGGTGTCGTAGATCGTACTTGATCGAGAGAAAAGTCTTGGTACCACCGAGGATACAGATCGGAATGTTTGTCGTTCGAAGCCAGTACTGAAAGGAAGATTGAACTTTATCGCGGCAACGGTGGCTGAATCGGTGACTGCATTTATACCTCTTGTCTTTCCGATCTCTGTGTTCTTCTTCTCCGTATCGTCGTGCGTCCTTTGCCTCTCTTCCCAGAACACGTCCTTTCCCGCTTGGATCTCGTCTTCCAGGTGCCACTTTATCGGCCCTTCCTGAAGAGCCGACATCCATTTCTCTTGTAAGTCCTCGAAGTCACCGTCGTCTTCCTCGTCGTCTTCGTCCTCCTTAGCCTTGCCGCTACGTTGTAAATTGAGCTTCCGTCTCTGTTTCAACAGTTTCTTGAACTTCAATTTTCTTCGTTCCTGCGCGTTCAGCCTGCCTCTTCTCAAAGCTTTACGCTCGTAATCTCCGATCGCTAATTCTTTCGCCTTGGCTGCTATCTTGAGTTGCTCGAAGTCGACGTGATCGATGCATTCTGTACGAAACTTCAACGTCGGACTTTCCTTTGTCAAGGACTCCAAGGAAGCTTGACGAATCGAACTCAGTTTGTCGTACCGGGTCAATGGATCGATGTTGTCGTACGAACAGCAGAAGCCAAAAGGTTTCAGAATCTTTAGAGAGGATCGCCTGTCGAACGAAAAGTCAACATCTTTGATGTACCGAGGTTTCCGGCAAAGGTGCTTCGATCAGGTGGAGTACCTCCTACGTTGTCCAGGCCCTGTGGTGGACGGCTTTGATTTCAGGGAGATCTTAGACATTCTGACCGAATGAAGCAAAGGACGACGGGGGTTGAACGGTGTGCTAATTGATTATTCCATTTAAATTGTTACTGTTGTACTTGTGAATTTTGAAGGTGTGCGATGGATGGTTGTGCAGTTTAGTGTGAACATGTTTCCATTCGGATATTGTATACCCAGAAATTAGTCATGTACAAAACGAAGCAGACAGTAGTTGCAGTCTTGTAAAAATATTATATTGGCGGAAAACGAAAACATAACATTGTCTGTATTAACATCTATTGAAATCAAGTTCCTCTGTTTCTAATTTATTTATCTCTAATTTATTGTAAAAATTAATAATTCTGATTAATAAATTAATGGAAATGAAATTCGGCATTTTTATTTCGCTATCCTTGACCAAACATGATCTAAAGCATCGA